TCAAGTTCCTTACCAGCAACCGAGTCTCGACTGTTTTCTTCGCGGGGGTTAAAGGAGTAGCAAGTCAGCACCAGCACGACGTGGCTGTGCCGACATCATCCTGAAATGTCTTTGACACTTTCAGGACAAAACTGGTGTATGATGGCGCATGATGGCGTATGATTCCTGTTCATTACAGTTGCCGTCAGTGCTACGGATCACATGGCAAATTGTGAATTGAGGTTGAACGGTGAGACCGCAGCGTCACAGCAACCTTGACGCGGCTCCCAAGAGGCGTCTAGCTGGACCCCCTTTCCCGGTAGTCCACAAACCTCCGCATACTAAATGACCCAGAACTAGCAGTATGATTGGGCTTGGCCTCCGTTTGCGGGGATCCCTTGGACTTGACTCTGTCTACTCAAATCAGTTTTGAAAAAATCTTCGGCAGAACGGCCCGTCAGATGATAGGACTGGCTCGTTCTGCAGGCAACTCTAAATGCTCACTTCCTGCTGCGAGTTCCGGAACTGAAAAGTTGCTTCTGCGACATATTGGCTGTCCCTAAGGTTCCTGCAATCGCTGCCATCAGTGTTGTCGCGACTTGAAGAAACGTTGCACATGATGTCACCTTCATTCATCTGATCTCAGTGCCCTTCTTGATTGTGCCCTGCGACGTGAGCAGTCAATCCTTATAGATGAAACTTCTCAGCAAGGAATCGAGCGCTGCCTCTGCGCAGAAACAACTAAAAGCCACATCAGGCATCTGAGTTTTCTTCACGCGAATGGGATCAAATAGGCCCACCTATTGCGCTATATAGTGTCCCGATTCGAAGTAACTATCGTGGAGAACCTCTACCCGTAGCAAATGCCTGTCCATGTGCTGCATTGCAGGTAGGCTCTCAACAGGCTAGTTAGGCCCTCTCACATCATCGAAATCACTCTTCTTGGAGGAGCGATCTGGCGCGATTTTCCGAGGCACTCTTCTGGAGAAGAGGCTGGGGCCTTAGCTGTCCGAGGTGGATCTTAACTTAACTGCGCAAGCATAATGCGGACATACCTACCGAGGACCTAGACCCTCCATCTACCC